CAAAACCTTCAGGTTGCTGTACATAGAGCTCACAATCAATTGGAGCGTGTAAATATGCAGTTTTAACATCCATCTGATGTAGGTGTAAGTCATGTTGAGCTGCCAATTGCATCAAACTTCGTACTGATGTCATGTTTGCAGTCGGGGAAAATGTCTCCTTATAGTCTATTCCTGCCACTTGACTATATCCCTTGGCAACATATCTGGCTTTATATATCTCAGTCTTTTCTGTGTTTTCTTTGATTGTATAGACCCATCTACCCCCCACTGCATTTTTGCCCTCTGGTAGTGTGGTCAATGTGAATGTGTCATTTTCCTTAAGAGAATTCATTTCCTCCTGCATAGCATCAGTCCAGAGTTTTGACTCTGCTGAATTCATGGCCTCTTTAAAGGTGTTTGGTACATTACACATTACTCTGTAGCAGTAGTCAATATTTACATACTTCTGGTCGTCACACTGTACTTTACATTCATAGTCCTGTAAATACTGAGGTCTCCTCCTTTCTCTTTGGGGATAGCTTCTATTTTGACCTTCTGCTCCCTTTCCTGTCTGAGTGTTTGTGTCATCTGTCTCAGTTCGAGCCTCCTGTGTCTCTTTTGGACACGAGTCAGTCCCCTGGGTTTCTGGCTTGGTGGATACAAACCTTTTCTCATAAAAATCATCATCACTTGCCTCAAAATCAGTCTGTGTATGTCGCTCGACTATACTTTTTGTGACAAACTTCACTTGCCTGTGTTTTCGAACACTACCAGTGTCTGGGTTGTAGACTAGGTATGCTGGGCTGTTTTTATCATACCCTACAAAAATACCCTTCTCACACCTCGAGTCTAACTTTTTCTTTTCCTGCTTGTATGCATAGCATACAGATCCAAATATATTCATTTTCGAGAGGTTCGGCTTACGTCCTGTCAGCATATAATAAGGTGTCTGTCCTACATGTCTGTTGTAACATCTGTTACGTATTACAGCTGCAGTCATGACGGCATATGTCCATAGCTTCTTTGGTAAATTGCTCTCAAGAAGCATGCATCTTGCCATTTCAAAAAGTGTTCTCCAGTTTCTCTCAGCTGTCCCATTTTGATGGGGTGAGTAAGGTGCTGAAGTTTCATGTCGTATTGCATGTTGTCTAAGGAGTGATTGAAAGTTTGTCCCGGTGAATTCTGTACCGTTATCAGACCTTATACATTTGATTTTACCATAAGGTGCGACATCAGCAATGAATTTTTCTGTGGCTTTGAAAGTATCACTTTTAGCTTTTAGGAAATACACAAATACTGCCCCTGAAAAGTCATCTGTAAAAGCCAATGTGTATCTGAATCCCTCCTTAGCCTCTGGCTCAATGGGACCTGCTAAATCAGTGTGCACAAGATTGAGCGCTGCTTTAGCTCTTGCATCTGGTTGTCTGTTCCTACTCTGAGCAAATTTACCTCGAGTACACACTTCACAGTTAAGGTTAGATTTATCAATCCCACCCTTAATTTTCATCCCCTCAGTGACTTTTTCCAGTTGTGACACATCATCATAGTTACAGTGACCAAGTATTTCATGCCATGTTTGAATGTCATAACATCCATAACATGCATCGTCCTCAGCTTCACAGTCCACAGTGTTTAAAAAATAAAGTCTATCATATTCCTTGATGTCAAATATTTTACCTCTCTGGTGAATCAGCTGGTTACAACCCTGACGAAAGTTCACTGATGCTCCGTTGGCTGTCGCTGCTTTAACAGAGAAAATGTCTTGTGGATAGGACGGTATATAGAGCGCGTCCTTCAGCATCGCTGTCACTCGTCGTCCCTCCGTGTCTTGCAGGCAGACCTCCGCCTCTCCTTTCTTCAAAGCGACACCACTTGTTCTTGTCCCGTCAGCCAATTCAACAAAGTGGTCTTTCGGTTGAAAAGTCTCATCGAACCTTTTAAACTTGTCGATGTTCGTTATTATGTGTGACGTTGCTCCGGTGTCGACCATCAGCCCTTTATGTGTAACTCCGGTTACTGGACTGTCACGTACTTTAAAAACAAATGAGTGGTCCTCAACGTCAGTTGCTTGTTTAGCATTGTCTCTCTCTTTGCGTCTGCAGTTTGCATCTATATGTGTGGAATTTTTGCAAAAACTGCACCACTGTCTCTGGTCTTTGCTGCTCGCACTTCGACACTCACGAGCCCGGTGTCCTTTCTGACCACAGTTGTAGCAGGTGATATTGGGGCCATCTCTCCACTTCACCCAGCCACTCGCTTTCATAATATTATCAGATTCCTCACTCAAGTTGGCATTGTATTTTTCTGTGCTTTCATAGCTCCTCAACTTTGTTTTGAACTCACCAAAAGTTAGCTTCTCATCCCCTTGTGTAATGTGGATGGCAAACGGCCTAAAACAGATTGGCAGTCCCTTTGAAATCATGGCTATCAGCAGCCCGTCGCTAAGAGTCTCTTCAGCATTTCTCAGTGCTGTAATTGCCGTTTCGGCACGAATAATATAGTCAGTGACGCTCTCATTAGCGGCTTTCTGCAGCGACGTTAGTTCAGTGTAGAGGCTGATCACCCGTGGTTTCCCTTTCCCAGCGTAGTGGTCCCTCAATATTTGTAACGCTTTTCTTCCGTTGTCCGCTGCTTCTCTCATGATCAGTGAAAGGCTTTTATCGTCCAGTACCTGGATCAATTCCGCATAGGCTTCTTCGTTTTTCTGATCATCAGCCTCATCCTCTTCACCTGGCTCCTCTAGGATGGCAGCCTTCAATCCTAGCAGTCGCAGATGACCCAAAAACTTTGTCTCCCATAACTCGTAGTTCTTCTCATCTCCGTCGAAACACAAACGGTTCCACCGGCTTCCATGGTCCCTCCTGGGCCCATAACCTGTTAGTGATGCCATGATCTTAGGGCAGGAATACCGTGAACATAGTTAACGTGACAGAGGAATAAATACACACATACACCATCAGCTGTGCTTCAAACGGAAGTGACACGTTTTATTGCGCATGTCCCTTTTATCACGGGAATACAGGAAGTGATTAGTATAAGAGTATTAAATAAACAGAATTCATATATTACATTTCATAATTCAAATACAGAAAAAAGTTTTACATATGTATTTTTGATCCTCATATATTTGTTTTCCATTTAAAACCTCTGCACCTGCAAACACAAACAGCTTTCTGTGCACAGATCGCTGTGCATTCGTGTGTGGGTTTTTTGAGACTCCCCTGACGGTCAGCCGATTCATACTTGTAATTTGTTCTATCTATAGCCAATCAGATGTCTCCTTCATTCTAAGCCAATAACATGAGCGCGCCCCCACGAGGGTATGATTTCTTGCGTTCATGACACTTCATATACGCATTTTGCGCTGTCCGGTCAGCTCGCTAAACAGAGGGCGGAGCTTCAGGTGATCATGCAGAGCTGCGTGTCTCCGTCAGACTCAGCAGCTGATCTGATCTCTCTCGCGTCCGGTTATACTTCACTCGCGTTTATGTCCATATCGATCAGATCCAGCTCTCCTGATCGGCCTTTATAGAGAGCACCGACGGGGCTCCCCCCGTTGACAGTTCACTGTCTAGCACTGGCTTCGTAGTGCACTGATCGATTAGGCTAAGCTAGCATGTAGCTGCTCCCTCCACACTCACAACAACTTCATACAGACATAAATAAAGCAGCTGTATTCGCCATACAGGAAACACACATTTAAAACGGTTTTGCCTGCCGTTTTTGTGTACACAAGCATTCATCAATGGTTCGGAAAGTGGCGCTGTACCTTAATAATATAAAAGATTGTATTTGCGTGCATTTCCTGTTCGGAAAGTGGCGATGTACTGAGAGTGGAGGTGTCCTGAGATTAGCGCCCGCAGGCAGGCTCCATGGACCTGTCAGCTCCGGACTGCGCAAAATGCGTACATGAAGCGCTACGTCATGAACGCAAGAAATCTACCCTCGTGGGGGCGTGCTCATGTGATTGGCTTAGAGTTGAGGAGACATCTGATTGGCTATAGGTAGAAAAAATTACAAGTACGAATCGGCTGACCGTCAGGGGAGTCTCAAAAACCCACACACGAATGCACAGCGATCCGTGCACAGAAAGCGGTTTGTGTTTGCTGGTGCAGAGGTTTTAAATGGAAAACAAATATGTGTGGATCAAAAATACATATGTAAAACTTTTTTCTGTATTTGGATTTTATTTACATGTATATGAAACGGAACACATTTGTGTGTGCATTGAAAAACACAAGTGTGGATCCGGAAATACAAGTGTGAATCCTTTTGCGGATCATGAAATACAAGTGTGAAACCTTCTGTGTGCATGTGTGTATTATGAGACTGTTCTGAGCCCATAAAAATAAGGCCATTGGGACGCTACTCAAGATGGCGCAGACAAATCAACTTCCGGTGAGACCGAGACCGAGGAACGAGGAAATGAAAAATAAAAGAAGTGAGAAGGGCCCCTTAAAGTACCGCAGTCTCTTCTCCTAAATCCTTTTGAATTCTCCTATCCACTATCCCTTAACCCCGTGACGTTTCACTCAGAGGTCATGGAATAGACGATAGGGTTAGACGTTAGGAGCTGATATTTGGATTATCCCACCGCAACCCGGCCCTGGATCGCCCTGGATCCGCGTTCATAATGCCAAGGAAAATAACTCCCAGAATAACGTTATTAGCACATTTTACAACTTGAGGACTGAATGTTTTTAATAAGGGCTATACAAATGTTCATACTGGGTAGTTTATTTAGTTACAAAAAAAGTATCCAACGATTTACAGATGTCTCTTTCCCCATGTTATTCAATGGGAAAAAGTCTTTCCGTGCCCAGATACGGAAGTGTAGTACCGCCGTTTGGCCACAACCAATATTTTCATATGAGTCCGGCGCACTTCCTAGGGGCTTGTCACTAAGGGACATGGACCATGAATGTATAAAGAGAAAAGCCTAGCTGCTGTTCTGAACAGGTTAGCGTCACGTTAACGTTCATTTCGAAGTTTATGAGCTTTCAGGACACCGTACATCATGCTGGGCTCTATACTGTAGCATAATGAATAGAAGTGGAGTAGCTTAACGTTAATGCTGTGCTTTGCTATGTAGCGTTAGCTCAGTGAATCAGCTGTAAGCTAGCTGCATCATTGCTTTTACAGTCAATGCTACCTTTTAATAAATCAAGTGTACGTATGATATTGTTTTACGTTATATCCGTATCTTTCGGCCGTTAAGGTCCTTCACTGCTTTCAAGTTTGGTCGCTATATTTGAAAACTATTAATTTGGTATTTGGGTTATGAAGTCTTCGAAAAGATTACTGTTAACTATATCATTACTACTTTTATAAGACAGCGTGGAACAGGGGCTGAAGAGCTCTAGAGCAGGGGTGCGAAGAAGTACCAGACTGTTGGAATACTCTGTCAAAAGTCCTGCATTCAAAATGTTCCTCAAGTAAAAGTAGAAAAGTATTATCATCAAAATATAGTGAAAGTAGCGACAGTAAAAGTAGTCATTGTGCAGATTGGTCCATTTCAGAATAATATATATGATATGTTTTATAATGATTGATCATGAAAGTGTTCTCAAAGCTGGTAAAGGTGCAGCTAGTTTGAATGGCTTTGTATACTGCAGGGTAGCTTGTGGATTTACTCCAGGTGGAACTAAAGTCTGATTCAACACTTGATTATATTTCACATCATTCATCCACATCTGTGAAGTAACTAAAGGTATTAAATACATGTAGTGGAGGAAAAGTACACCATGTACCTCTGAACTGTAGAGGAGTAGAAAAAGTAGCATAACATGGAAATACACAAGTAAAGTGCAAGTACCTACAATTGTACTTAAGTACAGTACTTGACTAAAAGTACACCACCGGGTGTACACCACTCTTTTAAAAAAAAAATCAATATTCTTGTTAAATGTTAACAACCTTTCTCTCAAGCCTAAATATCTATTTGGGAAAAAACCCAGGCATTAGCTTGTGGCGAGGGGTTACAACTTCACTTTGCTTCATTCAAGCCGTCATATGAGCGAAAGGTTTGGAACCACTGCCCTACTGAATAGTTAAACAGCCCAATAATAAGTACATGAATGATAACAGCAGCAGCCATGATGATGTTGCGGGGATCAGCTGACACCTCAGCACCACTCCCTTGTTACTCTGCTGCATGTGTACTTAATGACTCTTTGTGTTGGATTGCAGAGCATCATGGGTAACACTGAGAGTGTGTCGGTGCAGAAGCGGCTGGCCCGCTTTCGCCCGGAGGAGCGGCCTGTGGTGGAGGGGGTCTTCGACAAGCTCCAGGGCGGAGGGGCCCCTTCAGGAGCCCCAGGGAAGACCCCAGCAGGAAATACTCTAACGCTTGAAATGCTGCAGGTGTGTTGCTCAAAACAGTAAATACAAACACAGCAGTTCAACAGGGATGCATATTGTCACATCAGGCCTGACACTAATTAGCAAATAAAACTCTTCTCCGGTGAAAAAATATCTCTTGATCTATTAGATGTTTAAGAGTCTACCATGAGTCTGAATGACACAGACATTTTTGGAGAATGTCCAGTTTTTGAAATTCTAATAATGACTTCATAAATGACTTCTTTCTTTGTTTACAGAAAAAGATGATGTTTTGACCTGATGACATTGAATGCTGCATATCTCTCAATCTTTCACTAAGCAAAAATCATTGCTGTCATCCACTTGTTTGTCTTCTCCTAGTCCTCAATGGGCAGCGTGGCCCCTGAGTCTATGGTGAGGAGGGTCTATCAGTGCATGTGCAGCATTGACCCTGGGCTGGCAGCCCCCCCAGCTGCTGGGAGGAGCAGCTCCTCTGCTGCCTCTGGAGTCGGGCGGGAGCAGCTGGTGATCTTCCTGGCAGACACCCTGAGGGGCACTGCAGAGGAGCGGGCCCCCCTGGTCAGGGCCATGGCCCAGCGAGGGGCCGGGCCAGTGACTGTGGTCCCCTGTGAGCAGGTAGCAGAGGTGAGTGGAGGGTCAAATGAAATAGTCATTTGTTATCATTTGTGGTATTTCTGTTGGTCTCTACTTTGTTTACTGTCACACCCGCCCTGCTGATTCACATCTACTATCTCATGGTTCCTGCATAATGACACTAAAGGATTCTGTCCTACTGATGCCCTATTATGGTCCTTTTTTCATTTCTCCACAGTTCCTGGAGGACCTGATCTCTACTGTAGTTCAGATAGTGGTCCACAGAGGGCGCCTGCAGGCCTGGAAGCCAGAGAGGATGGGGGATGGCTCTCTGGGGGTCAAGCTGCTGGCAGAGCACATCTGTTCTGAGCTTAAACCCTCAGGTAAACACTTGCTTTAATGGTTTTCATCCATCCAAGAAATGAGACTCCCTCTCTGTGGCGACAACGCTTCCACTGAATGAAGTCGCTTAACAGGCTACGTTTGGTTCGTGACTCGTTCCCAATGAGCAGAACTGAA